AAAAAAATAAATAAAAAAAAAAAAAAAAAAAAAAAAAAAAAAAAAAATATATTATAATATTATACTATATTTATATATATAATATATATATATATATATATATATATATATATATATATATCTATATATACTATATATATATATATATTTGCAGATATGTCAAACATGTTTTATGAGATTTCTCCAGGTTCTCCCCATATTATGACAATAAGATACAAGTTAAATTTGACAGAGTGAGCCTTTTTTATTTTTTAAGCGTTGTTCTTGCCCAGTCAAGTGAACTGCAGAGGAAAACTGGGAAAAAAATCTCTTGGTGACAGTCATTTCTGTTTTCTGCCAAGGACAGTGTGTGTCTGGCAGACGTGGTTCCTCATTTGCACTACATGTATTACTCTGTGTTTTCTATGGCTTCAATTGTGTACACAGTGGACAGTTTACTGTTGTGTAGCCTGGTGCTGTTTGTTCTACATGTGCAGCACATTCGGAAAGTATTCACCCAGTTTTTCTGCCATTTGTTTCACCGGATTTTTATTATCCATAATTGCAAATTAAAAGTAGAAACAGACATGTTTATAATTGTTACACTACAGCACCATCTCCTCTTTGGTGTATAAAACAATGGCAAACAATACCACCATGTGGTGGAATGTAAAAAGATAATTTATGATAACCAATTATTGATTCTGCTGATCTTTATGATGGCAGCACACTCCTCTTCCTTACACACATTAAATGTTTTATCTTTGTGTTTCAGACCATAGTGATGGTACTGGAGTCAAAAGGAGACACTGCCAGTCATATGATGATAAAGCTGCTGAAGTCCTTCTGGAAAACGGGCCTGATCACTGTGGATCAGATGAACAGGGTCAGTGCCTTTTTTATGTACTGGGTTAAAAATATATGAAAGACATGATTTTATATGGAAATTCATGTGTATTTTATACATTTTTATCATGTAGGGCTTCCAGCGTGTCTATGAAGAGCTCCCTGAAATCAACCTTGATGTACCACATGCCCACTCTATAATGGAGACCTTTGTGGACCTCTGCTATCAGGAGTCTGTCATCACCAAACAGCTGAGGGATGCCTGTCCCTCCAGGTTAGTTGGCTATAAACATTGTTTTTCTGTTCATATCTCATAATTCACGCATTCTCTAATAGCTGGTATTATTTCATATTTTTCTTATTGTCAACAAATCCCACGAAAACACCTCAACCAATAATGACCATCTGTCACTACTTCATTTCAGTGTCAGGCTCTCAGCCCCAAGCCCACTTGTTCATAGGCATTAAAAAGTACATTTTGGGGACTATTTTCCACTATAGGTTAATACACATTTTAGGGTATTTGCAAGTATTAAAGGCAGCAGGATGGTGTGTGTGTGTGGTATTGACTCAAAGTAAACTACACTGCCCATGTTCGTGGTAATGAAGGATAATATCAACCAGTGCAACAGTCTGTCTCATTTAGATGTGTAGGTACCTTGAAAGTGCTTGAATTTTACTTAAAAGTAAAAAGCTGTACTAACCCAGTTGACTCCTATGGCACAGAGACATAAGCTGTACCAGGCTTCGACTACACCGAAAATACTTATTAAAAGCATCCATTCATTTTTGGTTTTGGTATTTTTACAGCATTTGTTGACAACAAGAAAAAATAGAAAAATAAAACCAGCCATAACCTTAAATATTATACAGTACAGTGCACACCAAAATTATATCCCTCTCAAACCCTTATTTCCTTCACCAGAGGGCGGAAGCGTTTTGTAAGCGAAGGAGATGGAGGAGTGATCAAGACCTAATCCACAAGAGGAAGAGCAGGAAGAGGAGGGGTGTCTACAGGTTGTTGCACCCGTGTTGCCGCTCCAGCATGTTTCCCCTGAAACCGGGCATGCTGGCAGTGTAAAGTTTCCTTGTTCCTCTCTTAATGATGTTGTCATTAAACAAACCAGCGTTGACGTTCGGTGAAAGTAGACTGAAGTGTGGCCCGGCCATTCAGTTCCCCTTCATCTTGTTACTCACTGTTTTGACATTTTTTTGTAAGAATATTCTTTATTTGTGGGGTTGATGTGCTCCTCTTGCCTCAGTCTTTGTACCTGTTTTTCAAGAATAATTCAAGTAAGAGCGACAGAAAAATGAGTGGACAAGCTGGGGAGTGTGGGAAATGAATTGGGGTGTTTTTGGTTCTTGCTTTGCTTGCTTTGTTGCCATGTCTGTTTTTCTGTTTTCATGAAAAAAATATAAATGGAAAAAAAGCACTTAAAAGACATAGCATACTTCAGTGAGCACTTAATAATTTAGCTCAACAGCAAGGATCTAAACCTTATTTTCTGCCACAGATTATTTGAAATAATTTTCAAAGACAACATGCTTTATTAGCCCCTTGTTCAAGTGGTTCTATTGATCCTTTACGAACAGTGTTTTTTGTTGTCTTTTTTTTTTTCTTTGGTTCTTGGTCTCTGAGGCCAAATGTTCACTTTGTAAAGCACGGCAGTCAAAGCAAGTGTTTTGGCTCTGTTTGGGTGTTTATTTGAAACATGCATTAGGGCCAAATATACTTTGGGAGCCCTTTTTGAAAAATAAAACTAAATTGAGGTTAATGTGTGTGTATTAAAAAAAACAACAAAAAAAATTTAAATACATGAAAAAATTAAACAGCAATATTTTGAGCACTCTGACTTTGCTTGCAATTAATGGATCTACAGCTCATGTGATCAGCAATGGACTCTGGACAGGTGACCAAATCTTCTGTAAAGCAGAATTTAAAAGCAGATTTAATCTGGAAATTGTCTTCAAACTTGGAATCTGTATGTCTGTGAAATGGAAACCCCACCTTTTCTTGGAGGACGATATGTTAAGCATATTCAGACTTTTTTGCCACTGTCTGTAACTGTTTTACATGTTGACCAAAGTAAATGTGGCTAAGAAATATATTTCATTCATTAAAAAATTCATTCATTAAAAAAATCAAAATTAAGTTTCTGCATTTTTTTTCCCCCACATCTAAAAAATACCTGCAGTCTAAATGACTGGTTGAGGGACTTTATGTTAAATGGTTCCTATTTGGAAATTGGTGTAATTCACAGGACACACTCTTCCATACATGCAGATATAGGCTATAATGTTAATGTTTTGTATAACCAAGTCATCTTTGTACTATTGGATCAGCCAACTATCCCCAACACACTCCCCTACACAAGAAGTTCATATTATATTTCAATAAAATTCCACATTTCCCTCTACAATGTCACATTGGCATTTTTTCCTTCTTGCGCACGTCAGTAGTTTGGTATTTCCTCTTTATTTCTCATAATAAAGACGGTTTACATGTATAAAAACTGAGAACATGCAGTAACAAAGAAACAAGAAACACATAAGAGATATATGAAATACAAGGAATACATAAAAAGAGGAAAAGACAAAAATATGCTGGGGGTGGGTATATATACATATTTAATGTGGTACAGGCTGCTATGGTCTTAATTGCTTTTCATTTTAAAAGAGTGTCGAATTGAATAAATGTATTGCTTAACCTCTCTTGAGGAAGGCGGCAAAGCACGGTTTTCTACCAGCACATTCACATTTATGAACATTAAATTTGGCATGCACAATAATAAGATGAATCATGTGCACAGCAAGTGTTCATCTTCCAGGAGACCAAATAATAACACATTCCCCCAAAGCAAGACAAAAACCTCCTCTAATATCAGTAAAAAGAAACCGTAACAGTAAAATCATACTTGAGTCGCACGACGAGCAGGTGGCGACGTAATTGATGACGTCAGACGCACGCCCGGGGAGCGAGGTACACGTCAGTGGAAACGAGTTAGTAACCAGGAAGTGGCTAGTGAGCTAGCAACGTATGATGAGCAGCTGAGACTCCGCGGTATTTTGACAGGTCGGTAACCATTTGCTCAATGAACATTAAGCTAGAACTGCAGATAGGCTCCGTATTTAATTACCTGGCTACTAATTGCAGCTGTATTATATTGCGACAGGTCAGTTTCGCTAAAACAAACAAACAAAAAAAAGCCCCACTAACGTTAGCATTACGCCACTAACCAGCGAGTGGCGTGCAGCCTTGCGAGGCAACGTTGCATTGATTACCGGGGCGTAAAGTTAACTCAGTGTGTCCTCTGTAAAAAAAAAACAGGTGGTCGCTACTTCAATTGGTGACACTTTGCACAGAAGCTGAGTTTAACTTGTAAAAGGTTCGGCGACGTGATGAAGCCCCTTGTTTCTGCATTCATGACGTTACAGCACGCAACGTAAACGTAGCCACACTGCTCTACAGCCTGTTGTGACGTTACAGGAAGCTTTCTGCAGGATTTATCTGAGATATCGTTATGATTATAGCCATTTTATGTACCTAGTATAAACTCTAGAGTTATGTGCACAATGTTTGCTTAAACTAACAGCACTGCGATGAATCCTACCTTCGTGCACGGTATATTGATCAGGTTTTGAGTGGTTTGGTTTAGAGAGGTGAGAGATGCATACTGGGAGGTGTTTCTTATATTTTGTCCACCTACTTTAAATCCAAGATGTGCACACCCACACAAACTGTTGAGTCACAGTCTTTACCTCCATTAAAGGAGGATTTAGTGCAGGGCTGTTTGGTGTAGCTGATAAACTGTGTAGCTACAGATGACAGAGTCAACAGAAATGGTGTAAAACACGTAAAACCAGTATGCATGTCCATGTTTTTGTTAGATGTGTGCCTCTTTTTTTTTTTTTTTTTT